GGGTCCTGTTCCTTAGCCTCTGTTGATTTTGATTAAAAAAGACCATGGTAGCTATTCTCAGTAGATTATCTAGAGTTTGATCTGGTCCCATAGCTAACTTCTATAGCTTTCTCCAAATGTCAAGGGTGGACTGAGTAATACACTTATCTCTCAGAATAAGCTGTCCTTCAAGTGACTAGGGTTGCAGGGAGGTATGTTTGGTTAGGGCTTCCGTGAGTTGCTCAAGGACAGCTGAGAGACTCTCTTTATTTCCATGTATTACTGTAGACAGTTTGGAATAGTTAAGATTTGACCTGGATCCTGTGGAGGCCCTCTAATATATAGGCCAGGACATTTCTGTGTCTTCAGAACACTCATCTAATCCTGTTATTGGGGTCCCATTGGGGCTCCTCATGGAGAACTGCTATGAGCACTGGCTGGATATAGGCTTCAGTTGGTCGTTGGGCCAGGTATATATCCCCACACATCTATGCCGCTCTCAGAGCTGCCCCTCTCTCTGAGTTGGAGATGGTTTAATTTAAAAGGAACATCGTGTCTCTCCACAAATGTCATAGTTATGGGACAGTTCCCTGTACACCTTATACTTGTTGGTGTCCTCTGAGAACTTGCTCAGGTCTTCTTCAATATGACGGAGGTCTCCCAGTGGGAAAGAGACATGAGCCCATGTGGGGGTGCCCTCTGACCCTGTCTCTGTCACCTGGAAAGGAAGCAAAGTGGGGGGTCATATCCAGAATGGTTTTTCCCTAGGGAATGTAAAACTAGCAAGGTCAAAATAACAGGTCAGGGAATGTAAAATGGGTCAGAATAACTTATAAAACTCCATCTGAGCGTAGCTTAAGAGGTAAACCCAGCCTGTGAAATGGCTTAGGAGATAAACATTAGCCACGTGGTGTCAAGATTTGTGCCCCGTGTACACTGTAATGTGTTGTCCCAGGGAGAGAAATCCCTCCTGTGTGTTGGACAGGTGCTTTCCTTCTCTGTCTGCACACCTTCAGTACAAATATAAAGTGAAAAGTTTCTGGTGCAAGAAACCCAGAGAGTAATCTCCTTCCTAAAGAGGGGGACTGACAAATATCCTCTTGGGAGCTGACCAGGCACCTGGGACAATGGGGACTGGGAAGACCCAAGAGACAGCCTAAAAGCTTAACTTGTTCTGCCCCCAAGAAGTGTATCAGTATGTGTTTGAAGAGAGGAAGGGGTCAGCCGCAGTGGCAGAGAGAGAAAGGTCCAAATCTGTAGTGCAACTCTTAACGGAGGGTTAAGAGAGGGCTCTGGCAGGGTCACCTCAGGTCAGCAGGGAACAGGGCATCCCAGGAAATGGCCCAGAGAGTTTACCCATCACCTCATGGAGGAGTGCAGGTGGGGACAATAGGTAAGTGGGGATTGTTCAGCTAGTTACCGAATTGGGTGGTCGGGACTCAGTTTCACTAGGGGGGCCTTGAGTACCCACCAGGGAGTAGTCTTTTTCAAGGTCTTTAAGTTCTATCTCAGCTATCACCAGTTCCACGCAACCAGAGAGCTTTGTCCAGAAAGGAATCCAGCTCCGTGTCTGGCCAACATTCCCTGGGGCTTCAGTAGGGAATTAACTGGGAGGTGCAGGGAAACCTGCCTTCTGCTTTGAGAGTGGCAGCTGCCACTCTAGCTGGAGGAAGAACCACTATTTGGTAGATTTCTCTAAAGGGACAGAGAAAGAGTGTGTGTGTGTAGAGAAGATTTTGCCCAACCAAAGACGTCACCAGATCTCTTTGGGTTTGTGCTTTGAGGTGGTGCAGAAGGATGGGATAAAACAGCGGGGAAGCAGTGGGGAGTAACTGCGTGGGTGTTTATAAGAAAGGATGAAAAGAAAAGCCCTCCTGTTGCAGAAGAGACTAGAGAGATGGATGTCATAGATGTTAAAGTCTAGCGACATTAATATAGTTTTTGGTGCAGATGAACGTGACAGACCGTAAGGATGTTTGTTGCTGTCAACCCTTTGATGTCCTTCCCCTCAGCCTCGCTCCTTCTGTAGGAGGAATTCCCTTCCCTCCTTTCGCTAGACATGGGCTTCTGGGATGAAGGCTGGGCAGAGAAAAGGGAGGGAAACCCTCAGTGCGTCCCTTTCCCTGCTTCAACCTGAAATGTGCTGACAGCCTGGGGAGTAGAAGTGGAGGAGAAAACTGTGAGCCTGGAGGGCGAGAATGAGCCAAAGAGAACAAAGGGTGCCGCCCTTCCCTGCCCTGCATCTGGGTGTGCGGGGAGCTGTGTACTCAGACGTGCAAAGGCACGAGGAGGATTGCGGAGCCTGCGGCTTAGTTTGGGATGCCAGGTGGCCAAGCACAGCCCTGCTGGAGCTCTGGGCATCTCTGGTGCCCTCAGCGGGGTGACAGTCCCTGGAGGGGAGCCCCAGGGCCCCTGGCCAGGCTTCTACGTTGCTAGGAGCCCGCATTGTGAATGGAACCCCTAGCACACAAGGAGGAGGAGGATTCCGTGGAGCTGGGGGAGTTCGAGTGGTGGTTGGCAGCGCTGGACGCTTTTCTGCGAGCGGACCGAGTGGTTCAGGAAATGCAAAGCGATGTGGTCCTTGCTTGGGGCCTTGGGCTCAGGCCTGGGCCATTCGCTGGGTCAAGTGGGGGTCAGCCTGGCTCCCCTCACTGGCCCGATCTCAAACATCGCAGGCACCAAGGATCCAAAAGAGGAGGAGGAGGTGGAAGGTAACAGGGGGCGCAGAGGTCTTGGGCTTCCTGGGACCCTGGGGATGCCCTTTGGGCCCCATTTCCATCCCTGAGGGCCACCAGGTGACCAGGACTCAACCTGCCCCGTTGCTCTGCTCTCTTCCACTCCCTTCTCCTCAGATTTTCGGTAATGAAGTCTGCAGGGTTCCGGTCCTCTCTCTGAAGATGTCGTCCCTCTCAGGGTGGACTGAAATTGCTGAGCCGCCTCCTGTCCTTGGGTCCCTCAGTCCCCACCGCTTATTCTGCCCTCGGAGTCGGGGTAGATCCGACCTGGATCATTTCCCTTTATCTGTACACATTTCAGAGTGATGACAGGTTGATTTTTTCTTCTACTTCTGTGACGATCAAAACAGCTCATTATTAAAACATGCAGTGACTCTTGCCCATGCTCTCTTGAGTACATTATTTGCCAGTGAATCATAGTTACATTCTTTTCAGGTATTTTATAGGTTTCTCATTGTAGGAAGACACTGCAGCTTTCCAGCTGGAAATGTTTTCTGTTAATTGTATGTAATTGCCCACTTCTTCCATGGTTCGATCCTGTGCTAGGGAAGATACTCTATTGCTTGGAGATCCTTAGCAGCCTTCACTTTGGGTATTGTTTATTATTTATTTTGGTACTGGGGATTAAACCTAGCACCTTGGCACTGAGTACATTCCCAGCCCTTTAAAATGTTTTTAAAAACTTTATAGCCAGGGTCCTGCTCGGTTGTCAAGGCTGGGGTCGAACTTTCCAACCTGCTCCCTCACACTTGCAGGGTGTGGGATTGTGGGTGTGGCCACCGCACCCAGCACAGGCACTCGTTCTTACAGTTCATGTGGTTTTACTATGGAATTTTGACCTAGATTTATGTGGTGATCAATGATTAAGCTCATTACTGTTTCTACTTCTTGACATTTCTTTCAGAAAGCACGGTTTGCATCGAAAGAGTTGTGAAATTTCAGTTTCAGTCAGGGTCTACCTCCGAGGATATGATGGGTTGGACTTGTGGAAGAGAGCAGTTCCTTTGATAGATGTTTCCCCTTCTGAATTAAGAAATTAGCATTTTGGTGTATTGGGATGAGGGGCCTGGGAATTGAACCCAGGGCTAGTCCATGTTAAGTATTCACTCTACCACTGAGCTATGCTCCTAGCCTCTTGATCATGATTTAACTGAGCCTTTCTTTTCATTTCCCTGTAGCCCACACCAGCCTGGGCCTCACTGTGTAGCCCTGGTGGCCTCAAAGCGCAGGCCTCCTGCCTCAGCCTCCTGAGTGATACAAGTGTGAGGCACCATGCAAGTCTTCATGTTTATTTGTTGGAAGTAGAGAAACATGGTTTGCCTGAAAGTGCTCCATTTAGAATTCCAGTGTGGTGCCATTTTGGAAGGAGGAAGATGTGGAACCTTCAGAACTCATCTGAGTGGGCGGGGTCCCCTTGGGGAGGGTGTATTGGATGGGACAGATGTGAGATGAGAAGGGAAGGCCCTCTTCGTGTGTCCAGGTGTCTTGGTTACTTTTCTCTTGTTGCTAGGACAAAATATCTGATGCCCAAAATTAAGGAAGAAAAGGTTTATTTTGCTTACAGTTTGTGGAGGTTTCAGTCCATATTTGGCAGATTACAAGGCAGACTGGCACATGGCAGAGAGATACAGCTCATGGTGGCAGAACATAGCAAAGCAGCAAGCACACACCAGCGAGGAATGGGGGAGGAATGGCCTCAAGCAGTCTTTTCCTCTCTCTTACATATGCAAACTATCCACCCCAGGGTGGGTGCAGCTCTCACACCCATAATCAAACTCTAAAAGCCTGCCCCATGGCTGCATGAGGCTTTGGGGGGACACCCACACACAAACCATAACACCAGGAAAGGCCACAGAATCTCGAGGGTGGGGAGAGGCAAAGGGGACTGATCACTATCGGGAAATGACAGTTTCCCTGTGAGTCCCAGATAGGGGAGAGCAGCTGTCTCTCTGCTCACCTGAAACCAGACATGATGCATCTCCCACCTGTGTGTCGGGCGGGTGTGAGGAGGAACCCACTCAGTTACTCCGACCAGTGGTGCTCCCGCAGTCCCAAGCAACCTCTCTCTTTTTCTCCCTTTCCCTTGTTTGCTTTTTCCCCTGTATCCTGTTCTCCTTTCTTCCCCTCTCCCTCCTTTTCCCCTTCCCCTTTTCCTTTCTGTACTAGAGACTGAATCCAGGCCCTCTTTAATTTAATCTAATTTCATTTAATCTCTGAGATAGGGCTAAATCACCAAGCTCCCAGGATGGCCTCAAACTTGTGATCCTCTTGCTTCAGCTTCCCAGATTGCCGGGATTACAGCCTGGTGGCACCACACCTGACGTTCTAGTCTGCATCTTGATGGTTTCACTGCATATCCAATTTCTTGAGCATCAGCGATGGACCAAGAAAGATGCCACACATGGGTAATATAAGGTGCCACAGAATGTAGATGGTCTCCGCTCTTCTTTGTCATCTTTGTGTTTTTTCTTTTTCATCTGTGTGCCACTGGCCACCCCATCTTGCTGACCCACTGTGGGAAGTGTCCTCTGCTTCTGAGTTCAGGTCTTTCTGACCTCTCTCGGGGAGAGTCTGTCTGTTGTCATTTCCTCCTTCCAGTGCATTCTCCCTTGTGCTTCTGGTTACTTTTCCGGACACAAGGGTGCTTTGCAATGTCTTGCCTGTGACCTACAGGATAAATCCAAATCTCTCAGTTTGGGGAGGCGAAGGACCTGGCCATCTGGGATCTCCTCCTTTTTCCTAGTTGCCATACCGATCCCGTGTCTGCGCACATCCTTGTGCACACCTGTGTGTGAGCTGCGGCCACATGGATCGTCGGTACCACACTGCCACGTGTGCAGGAGACGCCTTCCCGCTCTACTTCCCCATCCCCCTCACTGCCCCGGAAGTGCTTTTCCTGCACACCTGTCAGGAACTTTGTGAAGCCGCTCTGACTGCCATGCAGGTGCATAGATTGCTGGAGACCTGAGCTCCTCACAGAAGTGTGTGGCCTCCCCTGGCAGCACTCACTGTGCTGAGCTGTAATTCAGCTCTTTCCCTGCAGCTCAGGGTGGAACCGCACGTATTTTTTTCCTAATGTTACCCATGTATGGTGTCTTCCTCGGTCCATTGTAGATGCCCAGTCAGTTTGTGTAAGTGGGTGGTCAGATATCTGCTGAGCTGCTTAATGCTTTTATTCTATTCTTTGTATGACACACTTGATCTTAGCCAAAAGACCGAGAAGCGATTATTCTTTGTATTACAGTAGGACATGCTTAGCAGCTGCTCTGTAAGTTATTTAAAATAAAATAGTGTTCACTTATTTGTTTGGCAAGAATTTACTTAGAGGGCCTACATCGTGCAATTCCAAACTAGCACATTGGGTACAACTTGAAAATCACCAATATTTATAGTATGAGAAAGTTGCTATGGCAGCACACTGTACTTTCTGAGGTGGCCAAGGTCCAGAGCTTGCACTTCTCAGTTAGGTAGACGTGGATGGGAACTCCATTTCCCTGCATTACAAGTTGTGGAATCTTTGGCAGATTATTCAGTAGTTAGCCTCCAGGGAGCACTGTTAAAATGGGACACTTGCACCAATTATCAGGCTGAGAGCATTCAACGAAATCATGAATGTAAAATGCCCAGAAGTACTGTGCCTTGCAGACAGTAAGCACTCAAAAAGAGTAGTTGTTGTTTTCCCTTAGTAGGGGGCTGTATGTGGTTTAATAAATATATATACGCAGTGGCAGAGGGAAGGCAGAGAGGAAGGGTCCTGCATAAACCTTTAAAATCCCTCCTTGAAATAGTGCTGCTTTTACCCCTGCTTTCCTAAAGAGATGGGGTTTTACTTAGTCCTCTTCACGGAGCAGTTAGAGCCCTTTGAGAGCTTCAAGCAAGCTGTGCGCACCATCCCAGAAGCAGCCCTACCTGGCGATTTCCGAAACAGCGAGAGTGTTGATCATTCTGACAAGACTACTGCTCATATTTTTAAAAAAATTTAAACACTAGTAGAGAGAAGTATTTTTATTATGTTATAGAGCTATGAGTAGGGAAAAATAAACACATCCGTACCCAACACCACCCACCTGTGTGGACGACGTTCTCCAGACAGGACCACTGGTGCCGTCCGTCTGTGCCCTGCTGGGCTCTGACCGCTTTCCCACGAAAGTGCACACACCCAGGCCCAGCGCATCTCCAGGCTCAGTGAGCTGTGTCGGTGTTGCTCTGTGTGAATGTTCGCTTGGCGTGTGTTTCCGCTTTGCGTCTAGGTCATTCATTACTGGACGGTGTGGAATAAATACTGGGAAATGCAAGTTAGAAGTAAGTTCAGGGAGTTTCATCTGAAATTACAGCAGAAGCCAAGAGAGATTCGCCAAAGCTTCCACGTCATTAGACAGAGACATTAGTGACCACTGCCGAGGGGTAAAGAGAGCGGATATAGAGGATGTAGACTGCACACCAAGGGCATCAGAGGCAGTGGCAGTTGACTGTACGTCCTGCCAGCCTGCTATTCTATTTGACCTGGTGAAATGCACTGCCAAAAATGCCTGCTCAGGCTGGGGACAAAGCTCGGTGGATGATGCCTGAGGCCTGGGGTTCCTCCCAGCACCGCCAAAGAGTGAATAAGTGAATAGCCTGCTCTTTGCCTCATATAGCATTGAGCAAATATTCAGTATATGCTGTTTTTTATTTCTGTAACAGATTTATCTCATTACACAACAAGAGAAATCGAAGTCATCCATAGAAAGATCAAAATAGAGGTAAGGAAAAGTAAAACAACTTTTAAACTGTGATTTTTTTTTTTTCTATTGAAACCATGAAAGTTATTCAAACTTTCAGTTCTCTGACTCTTTCTCTTCTTTTTTTTTTTCTTTTTTTGCTAGTGGGGATTGAGCCCAAAGCCTTGGTCCTGAGCTATATGCCCAGACCTTTCTTTCTTTTTGTAAATTTTGAGGCAGAATATTGATAAATTGCACAGCTGTCCCTGATCTTGAGATCCTTCTGCCTCGGCTTCCTGAATAGTTGGCATTACAGGTTTGTGCCACCATGCCTGCCCAGAAACCTTTGTCCTTATTTTGGCTTTTGAGAGTGGCTCTCACTGTATAGTTCAAGCTGGCCTTACACTCACCGTGTAACCAGGCTGGTCTTCAACTTCACAGAGATCCTCTGGCTTCATCCTCATGAGTGCTAGGGTTACAGGTATGTACTACCACTGGCTTCAGAAATCTGTTTTTAAATATATTTTTTAAAATTCTACTGCTGGGGGAGAAAACAGAAGTTTTAACACACACTCTCTCGCTTCCGTGTCTGCACATTTTCTACACACTGGGAACGCAAAGGTGGAAGAATCATTCATCAGCTGCTGATGCTTAGCAGAAAGTCCAAGCGGCAAAATGCGTTTCTTTCCTTTAGTTTAGAATTCGGGCTATGTATGGAAACTCATTTATGCTTCTGTAACTTTTTAGCTTGACGGTACTGTACAGCTGAGAGGCCAGAATAGTGTCTGAAATATTTTACGCATTTTTTGCATGGAAAAATATTTTTGTGTGTGATGACAGGCATATAACCATTACTCACATGTTTTAGTTGCTATCTTTCTGTTGAAAATGCTTTCTTTTTCCTTGTAGAACAAGAGACTAAAACACCGTTGCAGTGAATTAGAAGAAAAATATGAAGCCTCAGAGCTGCAGATAACACAAATATTGACCATCTACAGACACCAGTTGCAGCAGAAAGAGGTAAGGATTATAGCACTCACTTCATATTTATTTCATTATTGTTTTTAGATCCATAAAGTTATTGAAGTTAATAAAATTAGTGAGCTTTGTTATCACATTTATATGACAAAACTGACCTATGAAGAAATTGATTCTTCCATTCAGTAGAATAGTTTTTATATAAAATATATTCAGACATCTGGGTGGGTGGTGTTTTTGTTTGTTTTCTGACATGGTCTTTTCTGCAGTGCAGTGTGGTCTTTGCTAATGACATGTTTAATTTTTTTAAAAAAATATTTGCATACTGGACATTGAACCCAGGGCTTTACCCTGAGCTGCATCCCAAACCCTTTTTGTTTTTAGCAGGGTCTTGCTAAATCGCCCTGCTGGCTTTGAACTCGCAAGTCTGCCCTGTCATCTCAAGTAGCTGGACTACAGGAAGGCACCACCATGGCCAGCTCTGAAAGGGCATTGAGCACAAGGGTTGGCATTCGTTATACTGCCCGGTAGTTGATTTCCTGTGGAATAATGTTGTTATCATGATGTAACTGACCCAGTATTTTACAAACTTTCTTGTGTTTGAAATGGTTGTTTGGAATTGTTTGTTTGTTTTGAAACAGTATATTTTAGGCTGTGTATTTTCGGCTGGCCTTGAACTCAACCTGTAGCCCAGGACACTCAGCAATCCTCAAACCTCAGCCTCCTGAATGCTGGGATAATAGGCATGGGCCACCACACCCAGCTCAAGATCCTGATGCAGTGTACTAGGAAGTGGCTCTGGGTCATTTGCAGAAGCTTCATTAGGTGCTTTTGATGCTTACCCCAAAGTGGAAACACGGCCGCGAAATACTTTGCCATTTTATCTCCTACATCACTGTTGGTATTAGAGGGCAGCTGAAACATTCCAGTTTAGAACTGATTTTGTTGTCTGCAAAGCTTGTCTTGCTGTAGCTCTACCACTTGGTATAAATGTCTCCTGTAAGATGCCAGCTTTTTGGGCTGTGACTACATCTGATTTAAATGAACTTCAGTTATTTTTACTAGGATGAAAGATAATACATAATCGCAGATCTGATACTTTGTGAATCTTTGTGCTGCCATTGTGATGATGTTTGTAGTCCCTAAAGACACAGTCTGGTTCTTATTATTTTGGGGAAAATGAATGAAGTCTGAGTAGTAGAACAATAATATATAAGAAGGAGCACGAATCAGAAAGCCTTGTCCTGATACTCAGCATAAAAGAGATCGGGTTTTGTTAGTCTGAGTGCTGAGCTGTACACATGCAGAAATATACTGCGTGTTTCCTGTCTCCCAGGTGCTACACGGTCGTCTGTTGGTTCGAGTGTCTTATGGATTAGTTGGAGTTCCTGTCAGTCTGTCTGGATCCCTTACTTTGTGATCTCAGCAGGTTTCACGAAGAATGGACGTGGCGTCATGGAGCTTCTGTGCTCAGAATTTCTTTTGGGCTGTGACTTGTTTTTGCTGATGTGAAGTCCAAACTCTGCTCAGGGTTTCAGAGCTTGTGTGCTGTTCTCTCTCCAAATAAGGTTGGATTTTCCATGGCCTGTCCCTGCTGATGGTAAAGCCGGGCTCTCTTTCAAAGCATTACAGCGGCATGTGAATACTTGGTACCAGATGCTTTTGTATGTGAACAATTTGGTTTGCCAACAGAAGTGCTTGGCAAAATTTTGTCTTTGTGTGTGAATTTTGCATTGGGTGACAAATACGACCTTGGCCGTCTTTCCAGCATGAACACAGAAGTGGAGGTGTATGTGAGAATTGTTAAATAAATGAATTTTGTGAACCCAGGCACCACTGTATTTTCTTTCTGGTTCTACAGATTGAAGCCAAGGCCTCGGCGCTGAGCAGTAACCCAACCCCTTCTTTAATTTGTCACTTTCAAGTGAGGTTTTATAAAGTTGTCCTGGCCGGGCCCACATTTGCAGTCTTCCTGCCTCAGTCCCCAGAGGGCTGGAGGGCATGTATGCACCACCACGCCCAGCTCCATTAGTTTCTTCCGAGATTCTAGCTAATAGCCACGGGCACACTGCTTTATCCTATCCATAAAGATGGGCTTATAAATCCAAGCAGTCTTCTATCTGCATTGTGCGGGTCAGTACCAAGGTACCCTGATTCCCGGTGCATCTGAAGCCTAAGTGCAGTCGTCCCCAGTCCAGGAGACTGTCCTGCAGCAGATGCTCTGAGGAGGCTCCTGAGCGCATAGACTCACAGGGCTTCACTCGGTCCTCACTGGAAATTGGGTGGCTGCAGACACACCTCTAGGAAGTGACTGTATCCCTCTCCACAGAAGAGAGCAAACCCACGATTCATTGAGAAATTCATGCCTTAGTGAACATATATGTGAAATTTCCGTCTTCCTATGATTTGAAACATCTGTGCTTTAATGATGATAGTTATGTTTGCTTTTCAAATAAAGACCTCACAGTTAGGATGTATAATCTTAGAGAAATCATTGTACCTTTTAAAATGATGAATCTGCCAAAAGGCCAGATGTGATGTGTAAAGCCCCTCCTCTAACCTGTGGATCTTATAGGTCGAAATCAGCCTGCTGAAGGCAAGAGAGGGTGCACTGCAGGAAGAGCTGCTGAAGCTGCAGCAAGCCACTCAGGCGGTGCCCTTAGGGACCGACGGTGCACCAGCACCCACTGAGTCATCTTATGCCACCTACGGGACCCATCATGGTGCTTCAGCTGGCTATGACGAGGACATGGACTTTGAAGACCTGATTTCCTGTCAACAACAAATTAACCGTCTGACCAATGAAGTCTCAAGACTTCAATCTGATGTGGGCCATTGGAGGCGCATTGCCCAGGTAGGTGAATCTGCGTGAGTTTAAAAAGCTAGAAGTGAGTACGAATAGCGGTGCTGTCCAGGAAGTGCCCTGTGGAGCTTTTGGGATCAGAAAGGCTCCTGCACTAGGAAATGGAAACCCTGTGTTGCACTTCTAATTCAGCCAGCGGCTATGTGATTTTGCTCACTTGCTTTTCTCTCAGCTTCAGTTTGCTTTTCTGTAAAATATTTGGAGAAAAACTTTCAAAAACAAAACATTAAGCAACAAATCCTTTTGAGGACCTCACTTGAGTCATTATCTTCTCCCCTGGACACTCCCAGGATTCTCTGTGTGGACCCCAGGACTCCAAGGCACTGTGTGACACGGCTTCCTTGGAGGTGTGTCTGAGGTTTTGTTAGCTCCAGGGAGGGTGCGGTGAAAATCAGGTAATTTGAATCATAAATACGCTGAACTGTTTCACGTTGGTTCTCATGCACTGGGAATGGAATGCTTCCTACTAGGGGGTCCGCACTTTCTTCCAAGGAATGCTTTCTATCGTTCATCTCAGATTTTATATTCTGTGGGGTTTGTTAGCAGACAGGAGACTTGGAATAAGCTGGTAGGTAGCTCGCTTGGATTTCACTTCATCAGTAGAAGAAGGAAAAATGTCCAGTGTATAAGTAAAGAGATTCATGTCTATCTCTTTTGTTTGTTTGGTTTTTGGAGACAGGGTCTCCCTATGCAGTTCAGGTAGGCCTTGAACTTACTTTGCAGCCCTGGCTGGCCTCAAATTGCAGCAATCCTCCTGCCTCAGCCTCCCAAGTGCTGGGATTACAGCGGTGTGCCACCATGCCTGGCCTCATGTCTATCTTTTCGTGAATGAAATCTAGTTCTGAAGAGGACAGATCTTACCAGCTCAGATTGCCTGCTTGTTTCACATTCTAAGTGCTCAAAACAGACTGGGCATCTGTCCAATTTTTCACAAAATAGGTGTGATTCTTGAATTTTGCTGGAAGAATGACCTGGAGAAGTTGATAATATTCTAGATTTCATGTCCAGCCTTAAGGGAGAGACTGTGATTAAGAGGGTTAGAAATTACATGCAAACAAAAACTATTCCCAGCTAGTTTTGTTCATCTGAGCCACACTGTGTGAGAAACATTGCTTAGGGTGAGGTTTCACAGGGAAGAGGAGGGTTTGGCATGTTTGCTTCAGCATATCTTGAATGCCTCGTACATGACAGACAGGCATGGTAATGTTAAGATGAAAAACGCATAACCTGCAGGTTTTAGGAGGCTTCATTTTCTAGCAAGTCATCATAAAAATGAATATTTGTATTATTTCTAAGATGGTTCCACCTAAATTATCCCTACATATGTATGTTACATTATCCTTAATAAACACCTGAAGTATATATGGCCTCTACTTGCAGATAAGGATACTAAAAGTTATTATCCACCGAGCCAGTGACTACGATTCAAATACACATCTCTTAACTCCAAACCCTGTGTTCTGTCCATGGTTCTGTTTGTCTTTTCAGCTCTACGGCAGCCTTTGTCTCATTAACATTTTATCAAGTGAATGTGTCTAAAGAAGGAGGAGTGCTTATTAGAGGCCTCGGCAGGGAATGGGAGGGATGGTGGGGGCTTTTGTCAATGTGTACAAAACTGTAGTTAGTTGGAGGAAATAAATTCTGGTGTTCTTTTGCCCAGTAAATTGATTATAGGTGGTAACGTATTGTGCTTTTGAAAATAGCTATGTTCTCACCACAAAGAAAGGGTAAGAGTTTGAGACGACAATGTTAATGGCCCTGGCTTGACAATAGCACACCAGCTGGTGACTTGAAAGCTGACTTGGTGTGTGGGGGACCCCTCCAAACACAGATCTTAGGTTTCAGTTAAGAAGTGTTTACAAGGACAGTGTAGAATGGGAAGAATCGGAAGCTGTGTTATTTTCTTGTCAAATCAAGGAGGATTCTATAGTAAGAGACAGAGAGGTTTTGAAAATTATTTTAAAGAAGATTTTTACTGTATCAATGTATAGCATTAGAAATGTTGTTTTAGAAAGCAGCTTGATTATGCTACTTTTTGTTACCCTACTGAAACATTCTGGGGTTTCGGTATCTTAACGTTAGTCATTTTGTAAAACTGTTGCTCTCCAATTAGCTAGCCAGTTCTTGCACCCAGCAGCTTTTATTCGCTGTGTTTCGCTCTGTCATGGCCTGGGCTTCAGTGCAAAGTGCCTAGCACTCACGAATCACTCCTTCTTCTAGAAAAGTAGCTACTGATAAGTCTGTGACCTTTTTTTACAAGAAAATTGGTGCAATTATTTTCCAGCTCTCTTTTTAACCCTTGTAAGGCGAAGGGAGCGCACGGCTCTATGGACGTGAAATCTGCAAGCTGCAGTGCATCGTCTCGGTGAGTCGGGCTGCTGACCGCTGGCGCTGGCTGTGCCTCAGCATCTGTGCGTTCCACGGCCTCAGTGAGTGAAGGCTTCAGTGACAGAAGGGCTTCTGTACACCACGACACCCAGGTTTTATCTGTTGGAGTCCTCTGTATGCTTCATGAGGAGAAAACACGCAGAAGTATCTAGCTGGGTGTCCCTCGCCTACACCCAGCTATTTAGGATGCTAGGGTTGCAGAATGGAAACTTCAAGGTCGTCTTGGGCAACTTCGTGAGACCCTGTCTCAAAATGAAATGACCTGGGGACGTAGATCAGAGCGGGAGGACTCGAACAGCATGTATGAGGGCCTGAATGCCAGCACTGCAGCAAGTTAAAATAAATACATTAAAATATCTCTGCTTCCAAAATCATCAGGAAGCCTTATCCACAAGTCTCTACTGTAGATCATGAAGCTGCCTTGACTGGAAAATTCCAAGTTTGGGGAGGTTTCCAGGTTTCAGGGTTGAAGGACAATGACAAAAGTTACTTGACCTTCCCCACTTTCTGCGCCAGGAGTCAGCATTCTGGTAGCTCCCTTGTAGGGTCGTGTAGTGGATTGATAACTGGTGGTCAGCTTATAACCCCCAGCTGAACTGAGTAAGTGTGGTGCTGGGTGTGGGAGGCCCACCTGAGGACTGTTGCCACCAGCATAAAGGCAGACCTGGAGAAGAGGAAGGAGGCTGTTGGGAGCTGAGAGAGGCTGTGGGGAGCTGGCTTTCCTGATGAACTTGGCTGTTTTC